AAAAAAACCTACACTTCCATGATTGTCTCATAGAGTGTAGAATTGTAAACAAAGCTGTAACATACTATAACTATCTATAACTCTCTTCTTGGGGGATGCAAAGCTGTCGCAAGTGGAGGAACCCAAAACACAGGGTCGCCAACGAGAACCTTGGCCAAATTCACGGACAAAGAAAAACAAGAAGCTTCCGACTGCTTTTCAGAATCTGAGGTCGTTCAGGGAGACCCTGGGCCGAAGATGCTTTCGTTGCCGACTTCACCATCCCAGGGCCTTCTTGATCGTGACCGGCTTCACCAAGTCCTTTCGGTCAGTCCTGTCAGTCATGCATCGCAGCTGAAACTCGAAATTCAACCGGCGGTGAACTCGACAGCGGTGGTACCAGGTGAACACTGCAGTACTGGTGATCATCATGGCTGTTAGCTGCATGCTGGTTCAAAAGCTGGTTGCCGCAGGGCTGCTCTGAAAACGCCCTGCTGCGGCAAAACTCCGTCAGAAACTCTCTATACACTTTTCTCTGATGCAACTCGACGTGTGAAAAAGTGGCGGTACATATTGAACATTTGCATGTTGCCTGCGCCTCAATTATAAGTGCCCTTGAAGATATTTTCAAACTCGCTTGCAGGCAAGGCCGCTCTGAGAAAAATTATAGCCAAAACACAACGAATCCAAAACTACTGGTGCTAAGCATTAGATCCTCGTGTGTTCATGGTGTTCTCTTCGCCAGACAAGCAGCATGCGGCTTCCCCCCTTCCCAGTTTCATGCTTCCTGGTCAGGTGTCCGCGAAAGCAGCTTGCGATCCGGGTTTGAGCCTGCCCACGGACTTGGTTACGATCCCAGCTGGGCTGGGCCAAGTGCGAAAACGATCACGAACCACAGATCTGCACTCCCAAAGCAGAGATTGAAAAGAAAGAACGCCCTATCGGCACCCTCTTTCGTTGCGAACACAAAACTTCCAAGAACTTGGGACCCCACCCACCCAGCTGCCCAGCTGCCCTGGGCATATCAACGATGCTTTGCGTGGCTAAAACAGAGTAAATAATGTTAATATATGCAAAAATGTGCCTTGTGTCAACCATCCTTGTCATGTGGCATACATTGTTCGTTTCGCAGTTCTTCGTCCTGGTTCCAAAATACATCAAATGACACAAACCCGAAGTTTGGTGTGTTATACGGACCCCCCATCCAAAAGACATCTTGGCGTTTGCGCCATCTACTCTGAAACCACTGCACTGTACACCCTGGTGCTTCAAGTTCCACCCCCTCTACGCCCCGTTCGACGCGCGGATCGCATCAGCTCGGTTCGCACCCGCATCTGTCGGCGCCGCTTCGCCATCACTGCACGGGCCCGCCAACAACGGGCCATGCACCTGAGGTCTAAAAACGGCAAGTGGATGTGAGTATTTGAATTGGGAAACCCCTGGAAGCAAAATACACCACAACCCATTGTTGGGGGGGGGCTCCCGAGGTTTGATGCAAACCCTGGGGTGTTTTTTTGTCCGTGAGGCCTCGGACCAAAACGCCTTACCGTGCGTTTCAGACCGTGAAATGCAGTGATTCTTGGCCTTGATTCAAGATCAGTCTATGCTAAAGACTGACCGTAAAGACGGTGGAACTTTTCCAGACTGGGCCCAAAAGCTGTCGCGCCGGCGTGCCCGGCGACCCGAACTCGCCGCGAAGGTCCCGCTGGGAAGCCGACTGGAGCTGCACAGCGGCCCAATGTCTTTCGTCCTTCTCAACCTCAACGAAAGACTCATGCTGCCTGGCCCCCCACCTGTTCCAGTGTGACTAGCGATTTCTCTCTATATGTGCCAGCTATATCATTGTTCCATTAAGCAATTGGGTTTGGGAGCAAACCTATTCTTGAAAAGACAATCTCTTTGGGTGGGAGTCGAGTGTGTGGCAATGCTAGTTTGGTGCAGTGGCATTTGGAGATATAGCATACTACCCCCCTTTCAGCTCGGTATCTGATACCTTTTCCAGGGGGTCTTGCTCACACCCATCACCAAATAGGCATCCCATGTGTCACCTCAAGAAAACTGAAAACACATCCAAACCAATAACAGAGACTCTACCCAGCTGTGTAGCTCTGTCTCAAAAATTCTCAGTTCTCCAAACGCTACCAGCCCCGTATGCCACATCATATCCTCCTTGTTCTTTCCGCTTTGACTGTCCGCTGCAAGCAGCAGAAGCAGCCTCGCCACGAAAAAGCACCAGGTCCCCGGCGACCACTTCGGCAATCTCGATCAGGTCGCTCGGGCGGCGGCTTAACCGGCGGCTTTGGCGGCGACCGGTGCGGCCGCTGGGGCGGCGCTTGGTCCCTGGCCGAGGTCCAGGACGACGGATGCTTAGGAAAGAAAGTGATGATTTTTGGAATCCAGAGAGTTACTAGTGCTGTTGTTGAAGATGGGAGAAGTGATGGGGCTGTGATCTCACCCGTCGATCTACACCTGGGAACTGGAATCAGCATATTTTGAATGCAACCCTGACGCAACGCTGGAGCCGCAGCCGGCCGTTGAGCCCGTTGAGGCCGTCTGGAGTGGAGCATGAGGCCACGGAGAGCGGGGGCGACTCGGCCTGAGGATCGACGATCTGTATCGATCCCTGAGGAGCAAACACTGCGAAGTGCTAGGGGGCCAAACATGGGTTATAAATTAGACCTGGTGGCCCCAGATACCTTGCAAAGAATGATTGGCATCTCAGATGATGCTATCATCTACCTTGTGGATCAAAGATGGAAAACCACTCTTCACAAATTAAGTCTAAGCTTCAGGACCTCAAGAAATGTTATCCACTTGCAAAAAAACACCTGGGAAAGTTCCTTGCGCTTTCTTCGACTTTGAAGTCTTGCACTCAGAACCCTTCGCGTTGCAGGTGTGTGTGTGTGTGTCTGGGTGTATGAAACTCTCAGAATGTTGAGGTCATCACAGTCGCTGCAAGCAACATAGCCTACATCTGAGCAGCCTTATGCACCAAATCCAAATCTACTCCCTGGAATAATCATGGAAGTAGAAAATGATTTGGATGACCACTTTTGTATATTATATATATATATATATGTTATATATATATATATATATATCCCCTCCCGAACAGGCGCGTGTCAGCACCGGGCCACCTGCTCGAGGCCCATCTTTTGCCTCAGTTTACCTCAGCGCTCGTCTCCACGTCGTCGCGCGACATCCGTCGGGTGTTGGGAAGCACTGGACCAGCCATTGTCCGTTCGGTCCAAAGCCCTGAAAGACAAGGAAGATTCTGCATGACATGTGTGAGGTATATGTCTTTTTCATCTGTTTTTTGGCACTGCAAACAGTCAACACGCAAGCTCTTCTCGATCTTTTGTCGAGGTAGGCTTTTTGCGGATTCCGTGCCAATGCCAAGGGCAAAACTTGGGTGCCACATGAGCACCAGAATATAAAGATTCTCAACTGATTGCACACAGTTTGATGATATTTGGATCCAGCAAGGGTGCCTTGAAGGAGTCCGGGTAGCCTGACGTTCCGAAACATGGACTGGAAACGGTCCCTTCAGGTGTGTTCGTATCAAATGGGAGACCCATGAACACACTGCCCTGGTAATGACCACCACTTTTGTGGGAAGTCCATATTGAGCTGAGATTTCCATTGGCGACGGCGAACTCGGCCGCGACACACATGAGATTCGGCCACAGGCTGGGCGGTGGTCCTTGCTCTCTGTTGATGTCATGATTGTGCAGGAATTGCTCGCCCACGGTTCCCAGAGCTACAAAGCCATCCTTGCACCGTGGAGTCATAAATCCCCCATCGTGATCTCCACCAGTTCCGGCATCATCCCAGTTCCAGACCATCGCAATAGGAGGCAACAGGGTGTTGTTCATGGTGCGGCTTTTTTTCAACACCATCGAAGGGTATGGTGGATTCTTATCGTGTTTGTCAACGCACGCATCACCAATGTAGTAGGGAAAGTCTTCCCCGTTTGCTGCTTCCGGCCGATACATTCCCAAGTTGGACTCTGCACCAGTCCCTTTGTCCTGGTAGGCGGCACTGTATTGATTGGTCACCTGGATGTAAAAAGGGCACACAGGGAAAGCCGGCTGATCCGAGGGAGCAGAACAATTGGTCACAATGTTCTTTTGCAACAAGGCATCGCAGTAGGTGCCAAACATTTTTTGAATATTGGAGCGCAAAGCCCAAAATCTCGCCGCCCCAAGAAAGTCCTTCAAGAGATCGCCGTAGAATTCCACAGAGAACAAGTCATGGATTGGCCGGACTTGCAGATCGATGGGAATGGGATTTGCAAAACTTTGCTGTTGCCATTGGGTCATATTATCAGAAGGTTTGGCTCCCTTGCTGTACATTTTCCGATCAGCAGTGCTTGTTTGGAATTTGACAATCTCCTCATGAGACACGTTGGTCTCCATGTTAGCAAGCGACATCACCGAGGCCTTTGCAGCTTCGGCGACATCCATCATGGAATCCAAATACATCCATTGGGAGGTGGTGATCTGGCTTTGCTCACCAAATCTGGCACCAAAGGTTGCAGATTTCACAAAATGGGTGCCAAAGGTCTCCAGAAAGTCAAAATATGCCTGCACATGGTCTTGGCTCCAAATCACTGGCAATTTCCTCAAATAGTTGAGAAAGTCCAGTGACAATGCTGGCCCTGCTGCCGTTTCAATAGTCGCAGAGTAAACAGCGCATTCTGCCTCTGCATGTGTGTAGACTGAATCATCATTCTTTATTCCCGTGTTCACGGTCTGAAAACTGTTTGAAGCTGTGTAGGCCGCATCAAAGCCAATGCCGTCCACTGCTACGGTCTTCTTGAGAGTGTCCTCTTCAGGGATTGTGGTGGATGTTCAAAATCTATTTGCGACAAAAAAAGGACAGAGGAGATGTTTAGTTTGGGCTTTGCCCCGGCACAGTAACAGCGACCACAAATCATACCACAAAAAAAGCACAGCAATTTAGCCATAGTTGGCATTAGGATGACTTTCATTTGCCCTTTCTAACGCTGGCTACATTAATCATGTGCTACAAAACCCTCAAGTCAACCCGATGCTTTTTTTCATCTGAGCGCAAGCAGTGAAGAAATGATCGACAATATCGATCCAGTCAAAAAGGCTTGGGGATTCTGCTGCCAGACAAAATGAGCTGGGCAGAGCTGGGCTCTGGCAGGCCGGGTAGAAGGGGAGGCAGAGGCCGGGCAGGCCGCCGGAACTGTGGGCGGCCCCGGTGTTCCAGGCCCGGGGGGGGGCGGGCTGCCCTTTAAAACAAAAGAAAACTGGAGGCCCGCTATTTTTAAAGGAAAATGAAACACAAAAAACCACAAAAAAACACACAAAAAAAAAACACCAAACCCACCACAACTTAGTGGATTTTTTTGTGTTTTTTTTGTGGTATGATTTGTGCTCTTTTTTGTGCTTTTTTTTGTGGTATGACTTGTGGTTTTTTTTGTGCTTTTTTTGTGCTTTTTTTTGTGGTATGATTTGTGCTTTTTTTT